AAAACTATATATATATATATAGTTTTCTGATTGGTTTTTTAACCAGTATCTCCGCTTTGAAAGGAGTAGGGGATGAGCGATCAGTTCATATGTGCATTCATTTTTTATTGTTTCCAGCACGCATCTTAACGTCTTTCACTTCCTCAGGATAGATATAGGTTGAAGTTAGCATTCTAAAGTTGGTCTATTTTGAGGAAAAGAAGAAAACAAATAGAGCAACAAACAGTTATGGACAACAGTAATTGCTGAAGTTAGTCCAGTGTCCTCAAGAAGACTAGAAGCAACGGGACGGAGCCTTTCACTTTCTCCCTTCAAAAGAGAAAGTGTTATATCACTCAGCGGCGGTATCTATAACTGGCGGTGTGCTAGTAAATTCACATGATCTGGTTTATTTTTACATATTAATATGCCCACCGATAGTGGCATATCTGCTGGTGTCTGATCAGGCATTTGTTCGGCCCTGCCTAGTGATGCGGTTCTGCATCCATGCACTGCAGGTGCTCAAATATCACGGAGCTGTCATCTGCTTAAATGGTCCCTTAGGTGACTGGAAGCAAAGTGACAGTGCCATTACGCTGCTTCAGTCCGGTATCAAAAGAGGAAGTGTTGGCATTCTGAAGTTGGTCCAATTTGAACAGAAGAAAACACAACTAAAACAGCAAACACAGTGATGGAAAGCAGTAATCCGCGAGGCTTTAACGACACAAATTCGGTATCAAAAGAGAAATTGTTACTTCAATGACACACTGAAACTGTATGAAACCTGTGTGTTGTAAGGAGTCAAATGGACAGATTACTGCCATTTGATGTCATTCTTGTTTCATTCCAGCTGATTTTAGCACCCTATTTCTAGTTGATGTTCAGCTCTTGTTTAGCATGCATCTGAGAAGCTCATCTCACGTCGCTAGATTATTTATTTTACAAAGTGAAAGTATCAGTACGTATTTAAGTAGATGTTTTTAACTCTCAAGCTTCTCATTTCTTGACCTGTTATTAGAACTCGCTAAATTAGTATTGAAGGAATATTAAGTGACCATTTTATAATCTTGGTGGTAGGTAAAACTCATATCTTTAATAACAACCATACTACGGGAGAAATCGGCGACTTCATTGCCAAGTGAACTGTCTTTGTATATCATGAGCCGATTTAAGAGGTTGATTACCCGTCGAACATATCCTGTTTGAACATTTTCTCGAAGTTGTTTCGCCATGCTTTTTTCGGTGGAAATAAGTCGAACTTTCTTCCATGCATTCTAATAACCAAACAAAGGAGGACAGCGTATCGTATTTTTTTGTGCTGCATAATAAATTTTTATGTCTGTTTATATTTTTAGATTTTGTGGATCATCCTAAGCTTTATTTTGCTGTCTATGGAATTCAGTGTCCTTTTCTTTGGACTTCTTTTCGGTAAGGAATGTAACTTCGGTGTTGTCGTGTTGCTTTTTAAAATCGATTGTTTAACAATAGGCCACTTGGATAGTCGTACTAGCATCAAGCGTGCTATTGTAGCCACCGCGGTCATAACCGTTGTGTACACCATTCTTCAGGTACGTGACAATTCTTTGTGAAGTATATGACCATATCTTATTCTGTGGTGATTTTCAGGCAACTTTCGAATTCAGTAGTAAAGATGTTCACTTCGAAACCGAATGGGGAAACGTAGTTTTGTTTTCCCATGGTGGCTGTTACTTTATCATAATTTCATCATCTGTTCTTCTGTGCGTAAGTGATTAGCAGTTGTTAACGTTTGTCTAGAAAGCTAGACAAAATCGTATTTCTGATGGAACTATCGCTGCATATGCAAGAGCGCAGTTTAGTGAAGTATATATTGACGGAAGCGATTATAACAGTCGTAAAAGTTAAATGTTTGTCATATTAGCTACTCTGATCCTCTGCGTCTGAGCACTCTTGGTATGTATATAAGGCCAGCCGTATTAGTTTTTAATTGTTTTATGCCAACTGATTTTCAGTATTCATGGTAACCAGGTTGTCAGAGGCTATTCGGTAAGAATTTATATACCTTGGTAACAAGTACCATTTTTTTACCGTACAGTTAAAGCAGCCCCTTTGGATTCTGACCATGACAGATATTTTAATTACGTAGATAATCTTTCGTGAGATTCCAATATGCTCATTTACCCCATTTATGGACCTTTCCCTAAAATCAATTTCAATAACTCTGTCTATTCCATTTGTCCACGACATATCTAAAGACATACGCAGGTTGTTGAGAAAGCGTAGTCTGAATATATATTTTTTCTCGAGGTCTGACTTTGAGTTCTGTGCAAAGCAGTAGTATGATCACTTCGCTATTACTAACCAGCAGTAATAATAATTGGTTCTATTAAGTGTGGCAGCTCTGAACGGATTTATATCGGGAAAACTTTCGTATTTGTAAACACAGTCGAGCTATCGCGAGCGATCATCCATATCACCGGTTTCTTTGCCTACGTCTTAGTAAATGATCACGATGTTGTAGAAGGAAACATTTTTTTGGTTGGCCCTGGACATTGTGAAGTAAAGTCGGTGATCAAAGAATCGCTACATATCTCAGCAACTAGGAACAAGTTGTATGATGATTGCATAGCTTGTTTTAACATCATTGAGGGTTGGAGTTTATTGTAGCCGTTTATTGAAGCTTCATTAGACTTGGTATTTACTGTAGCATCTGCTTTTATTTTTCTGTTCTGAAGAAGGCCACTGTTGTGTCCGTAACTTTGATACCTGTGTAATAACGGTTTTAAAGGTTTCGTAACATCAGCCTTTGTCTTGCTCCAAGGACCATCTGGAACTTAGAAGATTTACGAGTTCGTGACGTAGAATCATAATGAACTTTCTGTGACTGATAGGAATTCCATATTATTCACCAGCTTTCCACAGGGCATCTCTCCCGATTGATTCAGATGCTTTGGTGAAATCAACGAAGACTGCAAAAAATTTAAATCCTCAGTTAAACTGCTTTACCAGTAGCTGTCTCACTGTTAATGTATGGACCAAATATTTTCTGCATGCCCTGTGCTTCTCAAGAAGTTGTCTAATGCTGTTCGCCATAACACTCGTGGACACGTTTGCAGGAGCGGATTGTAAGCCGATTCTGTTATTTGGATCTGAGCAACAGGCTTTCTTAAATGTTTGGATTGCAATTCTTTTATGTCAGTCATTCAGAATCTCCTCTTTTTGTCATATCAATCCAGAGAGGCCCATTAACGCCACCACTCCGTCCATTTTAGACTCCGTAAATTAGCTCTGGTTATCTTGCATCAGTTCCTGCAGTTTTTTGTTTTCTGTGGTTTCAGTTTTTCAGTGGTTGGCGGTTTGAAGGACACTTTCAATCGCTCTGGTATCCACTGTTACATTCTTATGTTCTTTTCTTTGGCTTTTCATTGCGTTACTCCTCAAGCAGTTCAGTCCTCAAGGCCTGCTTTTACTGGTTTTGAGTATATCATTTATGTTCGCGAGCGAAGATCAGGCCCTGTAAAGCAGGAAATCAATTTTGCACGCTTAGCCGAAGTCACTGAGTTATTTTCC